GACAGACAGAGAGAGAGAGAGAGACAGACAGAAAGAGAGAGAGAGGGAGAGACAGAGAGAGAGAGAGACAGACAGAGAGAGGCAGACAGAAAGAGAGACAGACAGAGAGAGAGAGAGAGGGAGAGACAGAGAGAGGCAGACAGAAAGAGAGACAGACAGAGAGAGACAGACAGAAAGAGAGAGAGAGGGAGAGACAGACAGAGAGAGGCAGACAGAAAGAGAGACAGACAGAGAGAGAGAGAGAGGGAGAGACAGAGAGAGGCAGACAGAAAGAGAGACAGACAGAGAGAGACAGACAGAAAGAGAGAGAGAGGGAGAGACAGAGAGAGAGAGAGACAGACGGAGAGAGAGAGAACCTTTTTGTAGAGGCTCTTGGGGACAAAGTCCTGCAGTCGCTGTGGAGACGCAGAGTGTCCTCTGCAGAGTCCGTAGGACACAGCAGCCACAGCCAGCCTGGGGACAGAGACACGTTGGACAGAGAGAGCTGCTTTAATATCCAGGATGTAAACTGGGAGGTTTATTGGTTTCACTGGTTTCCAGACCATCTAACCTGACAGAGAAGAGCATGCTGGTCCGACTGCTGCTCAACACGGCCAAACCCAGAGCCTCTGCTACCGGAACCGGACCAGGCTGGGCCGCCTGCAGGTGGACGATGAAGGCTGCCAGGCCCAGGATGTGGGCCGGTCTCAGAGAAGCTGCCTGAGGACAGAAGACGGGGTTAACCCTTTAACTGCCACCATGACAAGGTTCCCATGGCAACCGTCAAGGACGCCGGCGTCGTTAAGGCAGCTAAGGGGTTAATCTCTGCAGCTAGTTCGATAGAAAACTGTTACTAGATTAAAGTGAACCTGATGAAGCCAGTCTGTTTTTACAGCTCAACTGATTCAACTATTTTTCATGAAACGTCTTCATTTGATTCTGGGACAATTTTTGTTGTGAATTAGTTTTGTCTAAATTAACTTTGTGAGACATTCATTTGTCGGTGGCAATCTGGCTGAGCTGTAATCTGGATTACGGTACCTGTTGGTGAAACAGATCCTTCAGTCTGTGGATTACGCTGGAGAGAACCTGCCGGTTATCGAGCAGCACACAGACGAACCTGCTGCCCCACAAACTCTGTCTGAAAACAGAAACAAATCAGAAAAAAAAAAGGAATTTCTGATCAGAAATTGAACATTTCTGATCGATGCTGCTTTTCCACATTAACAGAAACGATTCTTATTAAATAGGATTAATTCTAACCTCATGTAGTTTCTGACACATTGACAGAAAACTATTAGGACAATATCACTGCAGATCAATCATCTGCCAATAATCACTTCAAGCAGCAATTTGCAGTAAATAAAGTTTTTAATGTGAAAGTCACAGGAAGTCACCTGTTGGGAGGATTTCCTCTGGAAGCAACCAGCAGACTCTGACAGAAACTTTGCAGAATTAAATCAACAACCTGAAGATCACAACACAAACACTTCAGAACCACAGACCCAACCTGGTCCAGAATCAGAACCAGAATCAGAATCGGGTTTACCTTCAGATGGAGCTCGGGCAGCGAGGGGGCGGCGGCCGGTCCAACAGGGTCATCAGAACCGGGAAAGACGACACTCAGGGTGTGAGAAACCCTGGACAGCTGGGCCAATGACTCTGAGAGAACAGAACCGGGTTAAAGGAACAGAACCGGGTTAAAGGAACAGAACCGGGTTAAAGGAACAGAACCTGGGTCCCGTCCTGCTGCCAGCAGTTCGGTGAATTCCTGCAGTTGCTCCTGCAGAACGGTCAGCGGGGCTCCGGGTCGCCGAGGGCTTCCTGAAACATCACAGCAGGTCTATGAGCTGCGGATCTATGAGCTGCGGATCTATGAGCTGCGGATCTAGTCAGCGCTGGAAGTTGATTAATTAATAAACTGTTGGGAAAATCAAACCCAATCTAAGAAACTCAGCATCAAATCATCTCTGAACATTTAAAGAAAAAGATTTCATCCAAATTTACTGAACTTAATTTATGATTATTACTTCTAATCCTAAATATTTACACCTGAATTGATGCCGTGATTGGAATGAAGGTTTAAAGAATAAATTTTATCGTTTACCACTCTGCTGCCGTCGCTTCTGACAGGACTCCACATACTGGGAATACTGGGCAGCTGGGATCTTCTCTGCTCTGCACACAACAAACCAGTTTGACTGCTGGGAATCTTCAACTTTCATGAGGAGAAACGCCAGATCATCAGCCAGTGAAGAAAAAGCAGAACTCACTGTTTCAGAGCTTCAATGAAGTTCATCTGAGCATCGGCTTCGAGAGGAAGCTGAAAGGATGAGAAAAATCTGCTCAACCCCAGTGAAAATTCTCACCACTCTGACAAACACGCAGAAAGTTCTCACCACTCTGACAAACACGCAGAAAGTTCTCACCACTCTAGGCTTCAGCAGCGCAGGAAGGAACCTGGTCAGAAAGTACGGCCTCCGGAAAATGCTGTGGAGGGAAAAACTCCGTTCAGTATTCTGGAATTTTAGCTTTAGCTGGCAGGAGATTTTAAGGTAAGGTAATTTTATTTATATAGCACATTTTCAGCAACAAGGCAATTCAAAGTGATTTACATGAATTAAAAGGAAATACAAACAAAATAACAAACCAAAGGACAAAGACGAAAGGACACATTAGGGCAAATGGCAACATTCAGACAAAACAAAGGGCAAAAACAAAGACATGAATGAAGGTGGTGACGTCACAGGGCCATGAAGCCACGTTGCTGAGCCTCCCGGCAAAGTCCGATAAGGTGTTGTTATCAAGGAATGTCCTTAGGAGCGCTCAGCGCCACAGCTGCATGGACACCAGGGAGGGGTGAGGTGGGAAGGAGCGTTATGTTTCTTCAAGGAGATTAGAAATATGCAGCCCTTCCAAGGCCAATTCAGAAACAGAACGTCTTAGGTCGGGAAGATTATAAATTTCAATCTTCCCTAAAGTCTCTCCGATACATCTCAGTTCCCAATCATCCAAATTAGTTTGGTCGTTCCACTGAGCCGAAACTAGCAACTTCTCCAAAATTGATTCCATCCCGTTAGTGAGTTTTTGAGTCCTCAGCTGGGCTGCGAGTCTCAGCAAGACTCGCATCCAACTTGCGTCTCTGTCCACACCAACAGTCTGAGTGTTCGCCAGTTCGGCCAAGTCCGTCACAAATTTGTCAATAAGCCAGGAATCCACAAGCTCCGAACAGCAGAAATCCTGTTATCATGAATAAATCCAGGTGAATCCCGCCGGGTGTGTCCCCGCAGGACAAGAGGCTCTCCTGTGCTCAGACTTCTCGTCAAGAAAATTTGATCCATTGCATTGAAAGATCGGTTAACCAGATCCATAATTTGTAGATTTGGATGACGTGCAAAGAAAGGCTCCAAAAATATAGAAAAAGAGAAAAAGACGGGACAAAAACAGAGGAAGCAGGGCAGGCAAGGGCAGGGAGGGAGCAGAGGGAAGAAGCATCTGCCTTCACCGAGAGGAAGAGAGGAAACCTGTCACTTTGTCTCGAATCATTTGATGTTAACGCTTCATAACTTTATTATGTTTTAGTCTGCCTGTGTTGGTCAGGTCAAAGGTCAGAATGACACAGAGGTTTTTAAATCGCTCCATGGAAGCTTCAAGGATCCGACTGTATCGAGTTCAGCTCAGATTTCTAACTACGAAGATAAAACCTTTCCATGAACTGCTGCGTTTTCATTCTGTGAACATAAAAACTTTAATAATAAATATTTATCACAGAATAATTTAAATCCCACTGCTTTGCAGTGTCGCCGTTTTTGTCTGTAGTAATTGGGTCAAACAGATCTATGAATATAAGTTATCCATCTTTAATTCTGGTTGATGGGAATAATCCACTTTACAGGAGCTGGTTCTGTGTGATCCAACATTTCTGATCACACAGAGTTCAGTTTTTCTACGTCTGGCTGCGATGTTTCCATGTTCTAATCTCGTGTGGAGGGATCATCAGCCGAGTTTATTTGTCCCACATTTCAGCAAGAAGGCAATTCAAAGTTCATTACATCATGAAAACAGAAACACAACTGAACATTTTCACACATCAGAAACTTTATCAGTTTTTTTATAATGTTTCCATAGCAACTCTAACCAGATTTTAATCTGAGTTTAAAAGAACTCAGGGTTTCGGCTGCTTTACAGTTTTCTGGAGGTTTGTTCCAGATCTGTGGTGCATAGAAGCTGAATGCAGTTTCTCCATGTTTGGTTCCGACTGCAGAGCAGAACCAGAACCAGCAGGTTGATCCAGCAGGAGATCTTTAGTCCGTTCAGTGATTTATAAAGGGTGTGGTGTAGAACTAGATGATGTAGAACCGGGTGGTGTGGAACTACATGATGTAGAACTGGGTGGTGTAGAACTAGATGATGTAGAACTGGGTGGTGTGGAACTACATGATGTAGAACTGGGTGGTGTAGAACTAGAT